AGTTGCTTCAAACAAATTAAGTTTAATATTTCTGCACAGTGTTCTGTATTGACAAACACCAGAACCTCTGACATACACAAGGCAAATTATGTGAAAATACAAAAATCAGTCGTTGCACATACTGGTAAATAAATACATTTACTACAGAATACCAAAGAGTTTCTTTAAAAAATTTACTTTGTAAAAGCACGTTCTTGCAGATTTATCTAAAACTCTATATAGGTCTGAACAAAAATGAGATTTCCAACAACTCAAAACAGGTCAAGACAGTCTTGTGTGCAAACAAGCAAACATATTACATTATGAAAAAAATGGCTGATTAAATATTATTAGTTCTCATGGCTAAGACATCTTTTGACAGTTTTGATATTTTCCACTCTTTAAATCTCATATAATGTAAAGGAAATCTAGATCATAACATACTCAAATTCTACTGTGTATCATTGGTTTATTTAATAAAGGCAAAGTGATTAATTAGATGAATTTAACTGTGGAAATAAAAAAAATAATTAAAAAAAACCCCCTATCTAAACTGCTTTTTAATTTTATGGGGACGGAAACATTTGTGTAGCACTTACTTACTTATGTTTTCTACTTCTCGAAGTTTAAGTAAACAAGTCAGAAACGAAGATGTTTTGTTGTTTTTTTTGCAGGCAGATACATTCTAAAATGGGTATTTCTGCAGCTGCTCCCAAAAACTGGATCTTTCAGACTCTCGTTAGTGGGATGAGGACGGTGTTGGGAAATACAAAACCAAGTCAGTGTCTACTAGGAACTCTCAGAAATGAACCACCTCTAAAGTAGTTGCTTTCTGAGATACTTCTAAACATGTATCAACTTACAAAATATCCTCCACAGATATTTTTGACCTTCTTTTCCTACTCTTGAGTATAAGAAATTGTTCAAACAGGAGAAACAAAAGCCCAGTCTTGTCTTGTAATGATGGGGTCCGGACTGACACTCTGCATGGATCAGCTCAAAGGAAAAAGGAGGAGCAGATGTCCATCTGTCCCTAACAGATACAGACACTTACAGGGAGAGCATTTAAAAGAATTTGGTTTTTTTTAATCTTTTCCAAAGGAAGATTTCACTTGTTCAAAATCACTTTAAAAGGGGTTTCAAATAACAGACTCTCTGAGATATTTTGCAATAATTAGTGCCAAGAGAAATTATTATCACTGTTTATGTTGGCAGTCTCAACAGTGGGCGAGAAGACTGAGTAATGTTCATATATCACCAAAGGAAATGTTTTAAGACTATATATGCATGTTTTCTAAATACCCTGTAGCAGTAATGACATCACAGACTTTGACAGCACATTTAACAGAAGATGACAACTTCTTCACCAATTTTTAGCTATATTTTAGCTATTTTAGATACCCCTTTGAATGTTAACAAGGCTTTATGGGTTGTATACAAGACCAAAGTTTGGCCTCCCTTGCACATGACATTTTCTGAAGTATTCATACCAGTAATGCCCGATTTCTGAGATCCGGTTAAGCCCACTTTTAAACAAAGACAGACAAGAAGATATGAGGACTCTTGCAGAGACACGCAAATGTGGCATTACAGAGACACAACAGAAGTTAGAAAGAAACTTTCAGTTACATGAGCAGGCCTTGGATTAGGCCTGAAATAAATTGGTGAAGACGTCATGATGGAGCAATTTACACATTAACTGTTTAGGAGACATACACATGGTACTGGCAGAGTTCTTTCTTACAGTATTACGCAACAGTGACCATCAGTCTATCAATGAATACTAAAATCCACTACTTGTGCTCAGCGACGTAACTGCACTCCTTGTAGGTTCCTTTTTCTGGGCTTAGGGTTCAAGACAGTGCAAGTATAATGACAAAGTCTTATACGCGATGCAAACACATGGAAAAGTTCAAATAACTTAAGAACCACAGGTCCCAGTTTTTGCCTTCAGGAGGAGCTCTTTCTTCAGTATTAGGAGAGCTGTATCTTAATGGCTTTGGTTCTGCAGTTTCTATGCTAAGCTTCCATGCCCATCTTTGCAGCCGTATCCTCTGACTTGTGCCAAGCACATGGGATGGGAAAAGCACACAGGTCAAAACATGCACTGTTACACAGCAGGATGTCAGTTAGCATGTAATAGCTGCATTACTAAGTAATAAACCCATCCGTAAGAAACCTGTTGTGTGTGTTTTTCTTATGTGGTGGCTGCTTGCGTGAATGCTAAGAGGGGCTCTCATCCTCCAGATCCAGGCAGGTGCAAATGAAGAAGAAAAAGAGAAAGGAAGATTATTTTCTGAGAAACAAGTATATCTCTGATGGGTACTCTAAAAATAAATCTAGTTATATTGGCATCATTTATACCATACTCCTAGCATCAATCTCTGCTACTCTAGTAAAGCACTTGCTTTAAGCAGACATTCCCCAGATCCCTGGCATCCACACAATGTGCAGAAAGCACAGTGTTGTCAGGAAGCTTAAATTCATCATCATACAGGTGGCAATAAATCAGAGCACACTGAAAACCACTGCCGTAGAAAAAGAGGCTGGGACACGCGGCCTGTAGTGCGTAGGTATTGAGCTTTGCAAACATAATTCAAGGAGCCAACTGTCAGAAATGCTGCACTGTAAGTCATAACTGCCACCCTGAGAACACAGAATGTGAATCCCTTTACATATGTTCTCCAGTATCTTGGTCAGACACCTATTCGGCACTTTAAAGTTCACCAACAACCTTGAACTGTGCAATGTGATGAATATCCCCGCTGAGGATTATGCAACTGGAATTGGAGGCCACCCTACTTCGAAATGAGAACATATACACAGGGATTTAACATACTTTAATTCACAGGCATTAACTTTATAGGTTTCACTGACTTAGCTTTCTGGAATGTCTCTCCATATGGAAAAACCTGTACATGTTTGAGACAAGTGAAAGTTATAGATGGGGGGAAAAAAAAAAGCAGCAAGCTTAAAACAAAACAAGGAAATTGTAGTAAGAAAGACAGATATTACTAAACTGAAAAGCATCTATCACCTGCAAGAAAGTATTTGAAGTGATACCAAATAGGAATTCATCCTCCTGGACTTGTGCTATGTAATTCGAAAGACAAAATAACCAGTGCTTTTGAAAATAGGTGGGTTGGTTTGTTTGCTTTAAGAAACAAAAATGACAAAAAGCCTTGTTATAGTGTCACTGAATTCGGTAACTCTTGAGAATCCATCATAGTTAAAGAGCCATATTCCACAGTCAGCTTTTTAAGATGACATCATTGTCACAAATCTTGCAAGAGTGAGCATCGCTGCTTTAGCCCTGCTTTAAACCAGAAGTCAGAATTAACAGTACACAGCATTTTTTATATTTTCAGCCTACATTACGGAACGCTGAATCTCCAAATAAATACTGTCAGAAATGAAATATAGCCCCATTGTTTTTTACTTAGGAAAACTCAGTGGGTCTGATTTAAGTTACTTGCTGAGCAACTTTTCAGTTCTTGACAGTTGTACGGCACCCTTGTGTTTGTTCTGGGCCATCCTCATAAATTAATATGCATGAAACTTGATTTCAGTGTCATTTCAATTGCCTGATGAGAAATTTCTGTAGTAATGTGGTTTTCCAGTATTCCAAATGGCAATAAACCAGTTTATTCTTCACAATGTAGTTCAAAATGAAGAGCCTCTGTCTACTAGCTGGTCACCCAGGGAAATAGCAAGAAGACAGGCTTAGGTACTA